TATATGTATTAGCTCAGCGCTAGCACGACAAACAAGCAAAACTGAGGTCCTCTAGTCATATTTTAAGTTGCAGGCTGAGTCATTTTTGTGTTTCCCTCTCTGTCATGTGGATGGAGGACCTCAGTGATGAGAGGAGAATGTGTAGCGCTGAGCTAATATATATGGTGGTAGCATCGGGGCTAACGCTAAAGCTAACAGGCTAAGCTGAGGTTCTTCTTCCATGAAGCAGCTCTGTTGTCCTCCATCTATATTTTCAGTTACAGACTCAGACTGAGTCGTTTCTACCTTCTCCTCTCTGTCAACGCTCTCTGTTTTCATTTAAATGAGTCAATCGTCAGATATTGTCCAAGATTAACCTTCAGGGTGGATATAGCTCGCTAGCAGCCTTGCACCGATGACCTATCCATGTCATCATTTACCCAGAATGCTTTGCATGTAAATAAAGTGGCCCCGTGCATGGAATATATTTTTAAACTTCTAGTTTAAAAATGATAAAAACTAAACAGCCTACAATATTTTTAGTCTTTATTTTACAGTTAAAATAATTTTTTATCAAATAAAGTCTAATTTTACAACTAATCAGTGATCCCTTTAAGAGTTTACATCATGTAAGATAAAGTTGAATGTTTTCAACTTTCTGTTTCTCAACAGAAGTTGCTCTTTGTCTAAAACACTTTTTTGAACACAGTGATTCAGGGCTGCACAATAAATAAAACAGACTTCTTAAGTTTATTTGCACCTGCCTTGATTTGTTTTCCTGCACATGTTGATCTAAAAAAATGCTGTTTTTGTTATCTCGTCTCCAGAACACAGTCCCAGAGAGTCTCCTCTCCACCTGGCTGTGAGATGGGGTCTGTATCGGCTTGCAGAGCTCTTGCTTTGCCAGCCGGGGGGGCTGATGGCCATCAATCTGCCAAACGAAGACGGAGTYTCACCGCTGCAGCTGGCGCAGGCCGCAGGCAACGCTGAGCTCCTGGAGCTGCTCATGCAGTAAGATGTCAGGGTTATTTCACAGTGTTTTGAGGACAAATGTYCAATAAATCTGTTTTATTTTTCTAAACAATGCGTAGTGATATTGAGACTTTGTCACACACAGAGGAGGGACGGCTTTCATAATAATGAAAAAAAAAAAACAATCAAGATTGTCATCTTCTAAATGCCAAAAACAAGCACTAAAAATGCATCCTTGAGATTTGGCTTGTTTCCTAAAACACATATGCATGTTGAATCATCCAAAACAACCCGTAACACACTGTTTATTTGTTGTTTTTTAAGTTATTTGATCAAAAATGTCAAAAAATGTATTTTTTTAAATGTCAAGCCTTATCCTCAGAGGCTTGAGTTCCCAGTTTTTTAGTAGAAATTCTGTTGGGTGTTTTATATTATTTGTACATTTCTGATGTGTTGAAATGCTTTATTTTGAAAGCAAAATTTGTCTGTTTCAAATATCCCTATTGTGTTTTAGTGGGATTTAGATCTGAGTTTTGGATTTGCCCCACCCCTTTTTGGGGGTGATTTTTGGTCCATTTAAATGGGTCCAAATAATCGCTACACACAAGTAAAAAATTTTTTCTAGTTTATCTTTACCTTTAAGAAAATGGATTTAACAGAAATGCAGGTGTTCTTATGCTAGGCTGAAATTTTTACCAAATTAAAAATGATGATTAAAAATGCATTATTTTCAAGCAGCAAGGCAGTCCCAGCCCATGACACTTCCACCACCATGCTTTACAACTTGTAGAAGATTAATTTTTGTTCTGCAGTAAAATTTTCTGTTCTACTCTTTTTCTTTTCTTTTCTTTTCTTTTCTTTTCTTTTCTTTTCTTTTCTTTTCTTTTCTTTTCTTTTCTTGTTTCCGTAAATCATTTTATGAAAAGACTCAGTTTAGATGTATTTGAAAAGGGGGTTTAGCCATTTACGTTTTGATTATTCTAAATCTGCTTTTTGCTTTGCAGCCCACCCAACCCCTTGGCCACGCCTCCGGCAGGTCTGTCCCAGGTGTGGGCAGATGGATCCCGCTTGCTGAGGTTTTGCCATGACACGGGGAACCTGACGCTGACCGTCCGACAGAACCTGAGGTGGAGCTCAGAGGAGAGCCGGCACGCCGACATCCTGCTGCTCAGAGACAGACTCAGGGATGAAAACTTCCTCAGAGGGGTAACGGG